AGAGAGAGTTAAACTATTCTCCAAGGCACCTGAGGGTAGGACAAGAAGCAATGGGAAACTAATCAAGGAGAGAAGCAACTTAGAACTGAGGAGAAATTTCTTGACAGTTAGAACAATTAATCAGTGGAAAGCTTGCCTCCAGAAGTTGTGAATGCCCCAACACTGGAAGTCTTTAAGAAGATGTTGGATAGCTATTTGTCTGAATTGGTATAGGGTTTCCTGCCTAAGCAGGGGGTTGGACTTGGAGACCTCCAAGGTCCCTTCCAACTCTGCTATTGTATTGTATAGATGGATTTCTTTATAGTCCTAGCAACAGCACTTAGACATATAACTGCTTTGTAGTGCTTTATTGCCCTCTCTAAGTGGTTTACACAATCAGCATATTTCCTACAAAAATCTAGTTATCATTTTACCAACCTTGGAAGGATGGAAGACTGAGTGAACCTTGAACCAGTGAGAATCGAACTACTGGCAGTTTGCAGAATTAGCCTGTAATACTGCATTCTAACCACTATGAAGGATGCATGTATGCTTTTGATAAGCTGTTCTTCTGTATAATATATTGTTTTTAAAAATGTGTATATTTCACACATTTAATACATGGTGAATAGTGATATAGTTGGCTTTTAAAGAATTTTTTTTCAAGTTTACAACAATGGTTTCTCTTGCTTTTTAAAGTAGCGCTATCAAGGATTATTTTAAAGGATTATAAAAGAGGTTTTCTGTTATGCTTAGTATCATTTCACTTTGTTAGCATTCAACTATTTCAGAACTGAAAGCTAACATTGAGCTACTAAAACATGCACTCTGTAGCCAAAGAAAAATTAATGGTAGCTTATAGTACAGAAACAGCAAATGTCAGCATACGGGAACCAGAAACTTGACAATACATATTTTAAAAATTAGCTGCTTAAATCAGTCAACCATTAATTCATTCTTAACAGGACTGCAATGGAAAGTTGATGAGAAGGCATTTGATTCACAAATCATTTTGGCACCACTCACATTAAAGGGGGAGGATAAGTCTAATTTATGTGGCTTTATCACATTTCCTCTCTCTAAGGAACCCATTTTCTCTAACACAAAATGGTTCCTATGTTGCTTCTAGGAATTTGCATCATGTTGAATGTATAGGCTAGAATAGAATTAACAGGAAATTGGCTGCTTCAGCTTGTAAAGTGTGTTTCAAACAACCATGAACAAGCACAATAAATTTAAGATCTCAAGGCTAAAATTTGAATGCGCAATAAAAAGTTTGCTTTAAACATGTGAGTCTAAGTCAGTTTCTGAAATTCAATCTTTCTGTTTTTCTAAAACCAACTCTTTGTGTTGTGTATTCAATCGATAGGATATTCATTTTATTTTAGACCGACCCTCAGGTGGCAACTTTGCTGGACAGTGAAGATGCTAAAGTTGGACATGATTGATTATAGTACTCTCTGAATCGGTCTATTGAATTTGTGCCCCATTGCATCCAAACTGCACTCCCCAGATTTACACTGAACACAGTGATGACATTCTTAATTCAAACAATTATAAAAGCATCATGGAAACAGTATGCCAAATTCAGATGTCAGGGCAGTCCATTGACTGTCAATGGTTTTACTTTGCCTATTTATATCAGACTTGGAGCTGAATCCAGCAACCAACTGAATAATTCAATCTTCCAGCACAATAATTTTATTTGATATAGCTGTTTAGATGTCTGTTTTCTCTTCTCTTTGCACCAGCTCGAGGAATAACTAACCCTGTTTTCTCCATATGTTCAGGGAACATAATTTTTTTTTAAAGGCAATCTGTAAATAGCACTTGGTAATTCCGCCCATACACTGTGAATCTCTGTAAAATGCCTTTGTTTAGCTACGGATGACTAATTAATTCAGAATGGTAGAAAGTTATGGCTACAGCTGCCTAGATCAGAGAAGAGTTTCTCCTCTTCAGGACAAGGAGTGGATTGCTCAGATGGATGGCCTTTACAACAAAGTTGTTGTAAGAAATACAGCCAGGTTTAAGAAACTACTATAGGGCTTCTTTGTATGGCAATACAGAGTTGGATTGCATACAATTCATTACACTGCAGAGTTGCATTCTCAAATAGAGAGAGGGCAAGGCAAGTCATGGAGCTGATACCAAGTCATTCAACCAAAGGGAGAACAGAAATAAAAGAAAATAATAAAATAAAATAAAATAAATGAAATAAATAAAATAAATGAAATAATAAATAAAATAAATAAAATAATAAATAAAATAAATAAAATAAATAAAATAAATAAAATAAATAAAATAAATAAAATAAATAAAATAAATAAATAAAATAAATAAATGCAAGACACCTGGAGGACACAGAGGGGGGATGGAGGAGGTGGGAGCGAGGAGGCAGAGCGCAGCAGCGGCGAGAAGCAGCACCCCCACTGCTGTGTCCACCAGGTGTCTCGCGTTTATGGAGGGCATAAACACGAGACGCTTGGTGGACACAGAGACGGGAATGTCCCCACCACTGCTGTGCTCCCCTGCCTCAACCCCCCACCTCCTCCATCCCCATCCGCTGCGGGTATTCCCTCCCCCCAGGCGTTTCATGAATGGCCGCTAACGAAGAATCGGGCCCCCGCCAGCCACGGCATGATTCAACCTCTGCTTTTCTTTTTGAGGCACCCTTCTCCACCTCCCAACCCCCCCAAAAAACCTCCCACTTCCAACCGGTTTCCCCCTTTTTACTTATTTTTAAAAAAATAAAGGATGGCATTGCCAAGCGGAGAGCGACGTGCCAGGGGGAAATGCCAACTGAGGCTTTAATGGGCTATGGAGGCGAAGGGGAATTAATTGGGTTGGCTCTTGTTTGGGACCAAGGGCGCCCCAAGCGGGTTTCATGGGGAGAGGGCATGGGGCGTGGGCTTTCCTGCAACTGGCTGAGCCCTGAATGGAAGCGGCTGTTTTTTGGCTTCTTTATGGCTTTGTCAGCAGCGGGATCGCTTCGTCCGGGCACGATTCATATGCAAATGGAGATGTGGGGAAGCAGGGAGGTTGGCAGGAGTTGAAGAAAAGGGGAGAAGGCGGGGGGCGAGGTGGGGGAGCGCGGCAGCGGCGGGGATGTTCTTGCCGCTGCCAGGCTCTTGCCTCACCAACCGTAATCCTCACCACACGTCACTGGGCAGCAGCGACCCTTCACAGGGGTCCTAGTTTCTCTTATGCCCCTGGGAAAATGAATAGTCCATCCCTGTCTTAGAGAGACATTTTTTTCTCACCTCCCTTATTAAAATGTTTCTGATAGTTGCAGGAGCCTTCTGGAATAAGAAAAATACAAAGCTTACCTCTTTTCACCTTCACTGAGACTCTCCCAATGACTAATGGCTATGCGAAACACATCATAGGGTGATGGATATGATATATGAACTGAAATAAAATACATCTTGTCATGGGATTTTGAAATTCCCATTAACTCATGTTCACCTTATTTGGCTTATTGTTCCTGTTTTAATATTGCTCAAGCTCAAGAAGAATCAAGAAAGCTGTCTACACCCCATAGATACCCTGACATATTCTAAGACTGGAACATGTTGCAGCTAGTTTTAAAAGAAAGTGGCAACATCCATTACATCAGTCTGTCTGTATGTGGAATTCATCTTTTGCAGCCACTTTCTTCATATTGCAGGTAGTCCTTGACTTATGACCAGTCACTGTTCGAAGTTACAACGGACCTCCTCCCAAAAAGTTACTTATGACCTGGTTCCAAAATTCCAACAGCCGTCCACTGTCATGGTCATGTGATCACATTTCAGGTACTTGGCGCAGTGTTTCCATCCGTTTGTAGCATCCTACAGTCGTATGTCTGTGATTTACAACATTTTTGCCAAAACCTGGCATTTACTTCTGGCAAAAATAATCCATAAGAAAGAATAGATTTGCCTAAAGACTGCAGAGTTTGCTTAGTGACAGTGGATTTGCTTAATGACCACTGCACAAATCATAAAATCAAGTCAGTCACTCATCACCTGCTTTATAATATTCATGAATTATGACCATAATGGGTAGACTCCAGTGGTGGGTTGCAGGTGGTACGCTCCAGTATGGACGTACTGGAACCTGCCCGGAGCACTGGGTACCATTCCGGTATGGTGCTCCGGAGGGCCCACATGCCCGTCCGCATTCCTTACCTGTTTTTAAGCTCTTCAGCGCTTCCGTGCACGGCGCATACAGCGCCTGCGCGATGCTCCGCTGAGCAGCTGGAGCATCACGGAGACTCGTGGAGGCGTTGCTGGATGGTAAGACATATGCGCATGCTGTGTGCGTGTGCACACGCACTGCGTGCGTTCATGTGGAGGACACCGGGGTCCGTTGCAACCATACCACTTGCAACGGGATCCGGAACCCACCACTGGTAACTCCATTATGGTTGTAAATCAAGAACTGCTTTACCACATATAATAAATCAGAAGTGTCCTCTTCACAAGTGTGAACTCACCCTTAAAGGCTTAGCAATAACAGTGGTAACAAGAATAAAACAACAATATCTGGATCCTTTCAATCATACTGAATATCTTTGTTTGCTTTTGCTTAGTATGATTCTCACCATCTCCTCATGTATTCAATGGTTTTAAAAAATGAGCGAACAAAATTCTTTCTCTGTTAGAGTCTATTTTTACCTGCTTGTTCAAAATTAACTATCAAGCATGCCACAAAATGCAGACAGAAGTGATTCTGTACACTTTGCAATCCTTTGTTATTAATTAGCACAAAAGCTATATGGGCTCAATGTGGCCTGGAAACAGCAAAGGACTGGCCCACAGTGCTTCTGCCAGTGAAAATGCATGCCCCCCCTCCCAAGCTCCATTTTCACTGACAGAGGGCTGCAAGAGGCCATTGCGGCCGAAAACGAGGTGCAGTGTCACCACTGAAATCCCTTTTAGTTGGCAGAGGCCTAGAAAAACTAAAAAAATAATAATTTGCATTTGAGCATACAAGAAGGAACAAGAAAGGAGAAAGAGAAAGAGGAAAGAGAAATAAAAAGAAGGAAACATGGGAAGATAGCATGGAAGGAAAAATAAGTAAAGAAGGAAAGAAGAAGAAAGCAGAATGAAGGGAGAAGGAAAAAGAAGAAAAAGAAGGAAGGGAGGGAGGGAGGGAGGGAAGGAGGAAGGAAGGAAGGAAGGAAGGAAGGAAGGAGATTTTAATGGGAGTGAGGGAGGGTCTCAGGGAAGCCCTGCCTTAGCACTTGGTCACCACAGGTGCCCCTGACACGAGTGATGTTGAGCTGGCCATGCCGACCATGGCCACGTCCACTCCCCTCCGGCCTTCTGAGGTCATACACAACCCTGATGCAGATCTCAATGAAATCGAGTTTCACACCCCTGAGCTAGATGATTCATAGGCTAGATCAGTGGTGGGATTCCAGATTTTTTACTACCGGTTCTGTGGGAGTGGCTTGGTGGGCGTGGCAGGGGAAGGTTAGTGCAAAATCCCCATTCCCTCCTGATCAGCTGGGAGGCAGAGAATAGATGGGGCAGGGCCAGTCAGAGATGGTATTTACTGGTTCTCTGAACTACTCAAAAATTCCACTATCGGTTCTCCAGAACTGGTCAGAACCTGCTGAATTCCACCTCTGGGCTAGATGATCCATCTGGACAGTCCATTGATTCCAATACTGGCTGAAGGTTTTAAGATCAGCTGACTTCTTAGGGCTTTGGTAGCCATCCTTCTGATCCTTCCTGTGTGGTAGGAATAGGTGAAGAACTAATACCATCACCAGTCTCACTTTGTAAGACTTTGGTAAAATTTATGAAATACCCCCTTTCTGAGGATTTAATAAGGCTCTAGACTCACATTTGGGCTAATGCTTTCAGACATAAAACATGGCATGATATAGAAACATCTTTGTTTTTATTTTATGTTAATTGCCCATTGGCACTTCAGATTCAGCATATACAATAATATAAAGAAAGTGACTGGAAAAAGACAAATTCCACATACATAAGGTGACCAGACGTCCCGCTTTTGGTGGGACAGTCATGCTTTTGAACAATTTGTCCGCGTCCCGCGGCATTTTAAAAAAGTCCCGATTTTTAGATGGGCTTTGCAATACTTGCAATGAGGGTTTTTACTCAGGGGCGCATCCGGCTTTTCCAAACACCCTGGAGGCTCCTGGCTGTTTCACCCACAGCGGCCGGGCTGCGGCTGCTCCATCCCCAGAGGGAGACGCAGATGGGGGGCGGGCTGAGTGCTCTCGGCCCCGGTGTGATGCCCCTTCCTTCCTTCCTTCCTTCTTTCTCCGCCCCTCCCTCAAGCCCAGAGGAGAAGCAGCTGCTTCTGGAACTTCTTGAGAAGTTTCCTTGCCTGCTTTTCTCCTTCTCAAACGTCTTCTGATGACAGGCAAAGCTCTCCTCCCCGGAGTCTCTTTCTTCTGCCTGGGAATGGAATGGGGGGTGTTCTTGATTAAAACTTTTGCCACCCGGTGCTGTGGCTGAGGTGAAGCCTCCAAGCTCCTGCTGGCGCCCCCGCCCATGGCAGCGGCGCCTCCCCCTCCCTTCAGAGCACCTGAGCTGGGCATCACATTACCCCTACCCCCTCCTCCTCCGCTGTGCTTTTGAGGAGCCATGAAGCCACGGGAGCCAGTAGGAAGGTGGCGGAGGGGGTGGGAGCAGAAAACAAAAGGCCCCATGGCTTCTCAAAAGCACAGCGGAGGGGGAGGTGGTGGTGGCAGGGGTAATGCGGTGCCAAGCTCAGGTGCTCCGAGCAGAGGTGGAGAGAGGCGGCACCGCCGCTGCCATGGGCGGGGATGCCAGCGGGAGCTTTGGCAGCTTCACCTCAGCCGCAGCGCCGGGCAGCAAAATTTTTAATCAAGAACACACCGCCCCCCCCGTCTATGGTTGCCCCCTTAACCAATTTTAAAATCTTGTCACGTTACACATACATCATGGTCGATGTATTGTATGTGTCCAGCTTTCTTTCAAAACTAGCTG